GGTGTTTTTATATTATTAACTAATGCCTCTCCAGTTCTTCCTTGCTTTTATCCTGTCCTAAATGAACAAGGCAGGGCAGGGCAGGGCAGGGATTGAGGTGCCTAAAGAACTTCTTTCTAGGGTAGCACAACAGCCCTTGCCCTCTAGACCAGTTGCCTAATTCTCCTCCCCACCCTTTATTTTCTGTTCTTCAACTACTATAACAAATTGATTCTGTGAAATGAATTACTTTTTTCATAGAGACAAATCCAGTGTTAGCTTTATGAAACAAACATAAATGATATTCAGGTATTTCTTTTTCTTTTTGTTTGTTAATTTATTAATTAGTTAACTAAGCAAATGTCTGTCATAGAAATTTTTCTAGAAAAGGGGTCAGCAAACTATAGCCTAGTTGTCAGAAAATGTGAAATTTAGAGTCAAAAGGACTCAGTTTTATTTTGTTTTGTTTTTCTCAAAACCATTCATTTATATCTACTGGAGGGTAGAGATGAAAGCAATTTGTAAACTATGAAGCATGGTACAAATGCTTGTTGTTGATTTTGTGTGCCAGGATACTGGAATACCTACACCAGATTGTCAGAGCACCCTTTCTTCTTTATTGTGACACATTCTTAAGATTTGTCTCTTGTTTTTCTAAATTTCATATAGTTTTTTTGGTACTATTTTTATAACATTACTAGTGATTACATTGCTTAGTGCTTTACAGTTTACAAAGCACTTACATACAACCTATATGTGGCAACCTGAGCGTGTATACTTGACTCCTTGCCTCTCCCAATTTTTCACTGAGGTGACGCAAAACTGGCCCATCAATAGAATTGAGTTAGTCCTAACCATATACCTGAAGATTTAAGTTTCCAAGCAGATGGTATGGTTAGGAACAAGTTGGAGGGAGCACTGACCTGTGTACGTCCTGTCATTACTTGTTATGCTTGGATGGCCAGTACACCTAGGAAAAAGATTGCGTGTTTTTCACCCTTGCTATTTCCACTTGGGGGAAAAGCCTGACAATCTCAGTAGCCATCTGTCACACTTGAAGGAGCACCCATGTGCCAACCTCCTTTTGTGTGCCATCTTGCTTGATTCCAGCATGTGCCTACAGAGAACCCACCCTGCCCAAAGCACTCAGGACAGTGCTCAACTGTAGGCCATCACAGCAACCCACGGTGTTCAGCCGGCCGTCTTGCAGAATCACTCCCTCAGCATAGCCAAAGATAATTAACTGCCTAACATTTTAGGCTATTAACTGTAATTAGAAACTTTCAAGTGTTAGTTAATTCCTTGACTTTATATCAAGTATAAAAACCGAACAGAAAATATTATTATATCTCACATCTCTAAATGTTCAGAATTTGACAGAATTGTGGTATAGAAGGAACCAAGTGTTCAGAATTTGAATCTATGGTATATGTTTTAAAAGATGAACTGTTTCAGAACATTTAATTAATAGTCGTGTCAATGATTTAACAATTTGAACTGAAAAATATTTACTGTTCCTAAATCTTTATCTAACAGCAAGAGGCCCACAAGGTTCAATCAAAAGATGGAAAAGACTTGGGTGTAAATGATCAAGTAGTACCTAAAAATATTCCAAAAGTTGCTGAGAGTGCTGCAAATAAGAATGAAGAACCCTCAAACAATCATATTCCACATGGCAAAGGTATTGTTATTATTTTGTTTTGTGTTAATAGAATATTGACTTTTTCTTCCCATTTTGAAGTGAACATTTTCAGTCATAAAGAAAATTATTTGGATTATAGTTCAGATATGATTAGGTATCTGTGTTGTTTCAAATTTCAAGATATAAATATGTTCAGTTAATGTAGCCTATTGCTTTAGAAACTGATTGTTACATTCCTTCAAAACATTTTCAGTTTATGTAGGAAAAAATATAGAATTGCTTCTTTTTGTTAATTGGGCAGAACAAATCAAACGAGGTGGTGACGCAGGGATGCCTGGAATAGAAGAGAATGACCTAGCAAAAATGGATGATCTTCCCACTGGTAAGTAAAAATTATTAGAAAATTCAACTAACGTGATCACATTTTTCATGTGACCTCATTCTCTTTTTGAGTAACACTGGGAAGAGCCACAAATATCTGGATGATTGATTATTTCTAGTTAATTACCCATTAATTGCTAGAACTTTTTTTGAATACAAGTTTTATGAAAAATTTTTGCTAAAATATATAAAATACTTTTTTTCTGCCTTGATAAGGGTCGGTCATATTTGAATCTTTTCTTGATGACTCAGGGTTATTGCTCATGGCAGTTGTGCTATGTTAGAGTCATTTATGTTTATGAAAAGTATAGATGGCTCTTTTCTTTCATACTAAATATGCCCAGATTGCTGTGTTAAATGTGTGGCATAGTAATATCCATACAGGACTTATTTAGATTTTAGGGCTTGGCTTGTCCTTTCAGTGAATTACCCTACACCTTTGGATAGTTTATTCACTATTTTTTCTTTTTCTTCTTTTATAGCCACTTCTGTTCATAGTGTATCTCTTTCTTCATTAATGTGTCTGCTTCTTACCCATTTTCACTTGTAGCTATCCTAATCCCATTCATTTTTTTCATTCATGTCTTTTGTTTTTCTTGCCATTACTATGTTTCTTGGCTATTACGGTACCCCTCCCTGCTGCCTCCAGTTTATTATTGTGGAAAAATCAGAAGTAACAGCACATCTTTGCCTCTTCTTGGCTGTTTTTATTCCTTTTCAATCTCAGTAATTACTTCTGGGATTATAGCTAGTTGTACATGACTGAAATTGCTATTTGAGGTCCAAATGAATGAAGTATTAGTCCTTTCATTTGCATAATTTTGTTATCTTCTCAAGTTCTTTTATGTCTATATTCTTGTAGGTTTCAATTTCATAGCATATTCCCCTAAAATATAGATAAGGGCAAAAGCAATAACATGAATTTGAAAATAATAGAGTTAGAATGAGGAAGATTTGTTTTAAGGTAACAAAGTAATCCAATGATTCTTAAAGTGTGATCTCTGGACCAGCAATATCACCATTACCCAGGAACTTGTTAGAAATGCAAATTCTTAGTTAGATCCCATTCCAGGCCTCCTAAATCAGAAATTTTGGGGGATGAAGCCCAGCAGTCTGTGTGTTAACAAGCTCTCCTAGTGATTTTGATTTATACTTAAGTTTAGTAACCACTGACTTAGACATTAAAGAAATGTTCAGAACAGGGACTATGTATTCTTCTGAATTTTTGTAGCGCTTACTCTAGTCCTAGAATCACTGAATTTTAGGCTCATTAATCTCTTTACATTGCCCCTATTTACTTTTTAAACTATTCCGTACTTTTTAAACTATCCCGAAAGTTTTGCCAAGGATAGTTCTGCAGGTTTCTGGTATATATAAGCATTCTATTCAGATACATGAGCAAGGGTTGGTTACCTGCTTGTATGTATTTATTTTTCATGTGATATGTCTACAAAAATATATTATTTACATTTAAATACATAAATTTTAACCTTTGTTACTCATTTCCACGTATTTTGCAAGTTAGTATTTTATCATCACTACTGTAAATGTATAATATCTCAGTTTATTTTCTCATTGGTCATAATTTATTATTTGGCCACCAGAAAATTCCAGAGTTAGGATAAAATGAAATGGGAATACAAGAGATTTTAGAGATCTTGTCTTGACCATTATTAGGAATATTGTCCTTATCAGACAGAGGTTTTCAAATGTCTTTCATACATGCATCACTCCAGCAGGACAAAAATCCTGTCTTGGCTCTTCTGCTTCATTAATTTCAAAAAAAAGTATACAACCATTTTATTAGAATTAAAAACATGAATAATGCTGCTTTTGATGAGATGCCAACAAATTCATATCTGATTTTATTATATGAACTTGCCATATCAACTCACATAATGATTGTATCACTATAGTTTGGAAGTGGTAAAAACACTAAAAATGTATATACAGTTCATGTAAATTTAAACATCCGTATATGTAGACTTTGTCTACATTGTCATGGCATATTAGAGGCCTTCCCGTGGATTAATTTTTGAGCCTCTTTAAACTGTTGAGTCTTTGCTTTTATTTTTCATAAGTTATCCTTAATTTGGAAAAGTATTGTGGGTATAAAGATTATTTTGATATAGTACCTGGTGAAAGGAAACTTTGAGGTGTGATCAGTCAGATGAAACACAAAGGAAAGCAATGTCATATCTTTGCACCTTGAGCTTTCTATACGCTGCCTTGCATATAACAGGGGCCCAGTAAATGTGCGTGGTCGAATTACCAGGCTATCTTTGGTGGTGAGGCTGTGGTCTCTGGAGTCAAATTGCCTAGATTGAAACCCTTGGCTCTATCTTTTAACAAGCATGTAACCATTTATTTGCCTTTATCCTTACTTATAAAAAAGGATAATAACAATTCCAACCACATAGTATTGTGACATTTAAATGTAAAGCACTTAAAACAGTGCCTGGCACATAGCAAGCACTGTATAAATCTTAGCTGCTGTTGTTACTATTATGATTATTTCATATCATTACAACCTCATTTGTTATCTCCTTGCTATTCCATTTCCTGAGTATTGTCCTTTCTCCCTGAAGTAGTCTATGCCAAAATTCTTAATGTCAGTGCAAGTTCTAGTGTATATGTGGTGTCCTATTGGCTATAGAGGCAGTAATCCCAAAGAGAACACAGAGAAAAGAATACATCCTTATAATGTTAAAGTAGACTCATATTGACAGTTTTGTTGAAGATAGCTGGGACTGTGCTAGAAATTATAGCAAAGCAGTACTGAACTGTCTTAAAATACAATTCTGCAATAGTTAAGGGGTAGAGCATGTACCTAGGATTAGCATTATGTTTCAGCTTCTCAGTTTCCAAAGCCACAGAACCTTACTAGGTTTTGTTTGTTTGTTTTTAATGTCAATTTGGAGCCAGTAATCAAGATTTTACAGGAACCCTATAATTTAACCAGTTACATTCTTAGCTTGGATACTTATCCTATATGCTGATTTGGACAACTGTGATGTTATATCACTAGTTTTTACACTTGTTTAAATTAAGAATTATTCTAAACATATAGAAACACAGAGAATAATATAATAAATAGCCAAGTACCCACTGCCCTAAAAAGATATTTTGCCACATTTGTTTCAGATATTTGTTATTGATGGTATTGTTAAACAAAATATTATAGATTAGTTGAAGCCTCCCTGTGTAACCTCCAGATCCCATTCCTGTCTTTTCTTTTCCAAAGGTAACTACTATGTTGAGGTTGGCGTGTATCAGTTTCCATACCTGTTTTTAGACTTTCAGTACATTTGTATGTTGCCTTAAGCTTTAAATAAATGGTATCTTTTTGTGTATATCATTCTGCAACTTGTTTTTTCCCCTTCACTCTTATCTTTTGAGATTTACCTGTGTTATACCTGTGGCTTTTTAGCAGCATAATTATTTCATTGTTTAAATATGCCATAATTTATTTATTCACATATGATAAATATTTAGGCCACTTACAATTCTTTTCTTTTCTTTTTTTTTTTTTTGAGACAGAGTCTCACTCTCTCACCCTGGGTAGAGTGCAGTGGTGTCATGGAAGCTCACTGCAACCTCAAACTCCTGGGCTGAAGTGATCCTTCTGCCTCAGCCTCCTGAGTAGCTGGGAATATAGGCACATGCCATGATGCCCGGCTAATTTTTTCTATTTTTAGTAGAGATGGGGTCTTACCGTTGCTCAGGCTGGTCTTGAACTCCTGAGCTCAAGCAGTCCTCCTGCCTCGGCCTCCCAGAGTGCTAGGATTACAGGCGTGAGCCACCATGCTAGCCTCACTTACAATTCTTTATTTTAAAGAATACTGTAGTGAACATTCTTCTATATATCTTCTTGTGCACATGAGAGTCTCTGGATACTTCTGATAGTTGATTAATATGTTGAGATAAAAAGATGAGGCTGCCGTGGGCTAGAGGACAGGCCTAGGGATCTCCTGTCTTAGGCTCTACCCAGTCACTGAGGGTTGAGAAGATCAATAGCTTAGCACACTGGTAACCCATAAACAATTCCCACCACAATGGTTACAAAGCTGTACACAAGCATATTAAAAATATAATTCTTCAGCTTTACTATATTTATATCAGTTTGTACTTCTACTAGTGATATATGACAGTTTCTGGGTATCCACTTCCTCACCGTTTCTTTGTTAGACTTTTAACATTTTGCCAATCTGATGGTTATGAACTGGTATCTCATTTTAACTTAAATTTCCTTTAGTACTAGTGACATTAAACATCTATTCATATGTTTCTTGGCCATTTTGGTTGCCTTTTGTGAATTGCCTGATAATAATTCTTGCCCATTTTTCTAGTAGACTGTTGTCATTTTTTGTATTGATATTTAGGAGTTCCTTAATATTATGTAATACAAATATCTTCTCTGTTCCATGCTTGTAAACAAAGAGGAAAATCTTATTTTTTACTTGGAAACTCCTTCTAGTTTTAAAGACCAGTCAATCTCATAGTAAAAATTGGCCCTAATGGTTTACTCTGGGGGAAACTCTATATAAGTATAAAGATTTTTATGTACCTGAGCGATTGAAAGTTCTTTTCTAATTAATAACTTAGGGAAAGAGAAAATTACTCCTTTTTTAAACATTAGATACAGCTACTCTATTTATAAGATAATTAATTTCTAGAACAGAGACTTTTAACCTTGGTTGCATATTGGAATCATTGGGATGCTTTAAAAAAAATATTGTTGCCTTGGGTCCCTTTCCAGAGATTTTGGTACATTTCGTCTGGGGTGTGACTTGAGCATTGAATGTTTAAATATTCCCTAGGTGATTGTATTAATATTATGTAGCCAAGGTAGAAACTGCTCTCAGAGGATTCTCTAGATCTGCGCTGTTTAATATTAGCCACTGGTCGTGTGTGACTATTTTAATTTAAACTTATTAAATTAAAATAAAAGTAAAAATTCCATTTCTTAGGAAAACTGGCCACACTGCAGGTGCTTAATAG